GTAGCAGTGGATCCATAACTCTCTCTGTAGGCCAGTGACAGCTCAATCCAGGATACATTTCTGGTTAAGAAGCAGTGGCCAGTGAGAAGGAGCATGTGCCTGCAAACAGGGCTAAGTGGGAGGGAGGGCTAAGTTCGTTAAGTCTGGAGAGCACTGGGGTTCTCAAGCAGTCTGCATGACTGCAGTGGTGTCTGGAGCGGGTTGCCTCACCAGTCTCTTAGAGTGAGCCGGATGCTGGTGGTGAACAGGCAGTCAAATCACCGGAGCAACTCGACTCACTGAAGCTGGGATGTCCTAAATGGATGTGTCTGGAGGACAGCAATGAATCTGTACACCTCTGCTTAGAGAAAACAGTGATGTCCAGTCCTGGAAGGTCAGGGAACTTGGTCCTTGGTCCTGGGGGACCTTATAAACCTGAAGGTGTGCCAGAGAGGAGGCTGGAGCTGTACAATGGACCTGGGGAGCAGCTGGACCATGTGGCAGATGTGAATGGACACTAAGATTGGATATCCACACTGGCAGTTGGTGGTGTGGAAGCAGGTGGAAGAGCCAAGGCAACAAATTAAGAGAGTCAGCCAATGAAAACTTGTCAGAAGGTAACAGGGAAAGGAAATCCATTGTGAGTACATACACCACAAGAGATGGAGCTCGAACCTTTGTAACATAAAGGGAAACAAGAGTGTGATAATTCAGTGAGTTTAAATAGTGTGGGAATAGAAGGGGCATAGTTTGGGTCAGGTCCTGCTCCCAAACCTCTGGTAATTACATTATCTCCATTTCATTTCTTGTGCCCTACAAAACACATTGAGATCCTCTGTACCAGAATCAAATTTCTTGTGTGTTTGAACATATTTGTCCAATAAAGCCAATTTCTAATTCTGATTCTACACTTACAAATATATGCCCGCACACTCTTAAATGCTGAGTTGCAGACTAAATAGTGTTCAAAATGTGGTTAACGTGCTCTCATTACTATCCATATAAGACAAAAGGGAAGAATGCAAGTGAGGGAAATGTGGATGCAATTAAATGAATTGGGATTCACCTATAGTCTCATCTAACACTTGGCAAGAATGTGAACTTTGGAGAATCCCAAACTATTCTTCAATATAGCAAGAGAATCTGTGTAGAAAATCACACCAGATTTTAAAATGAAAGGTGGGTTTCTATCTAAAAATTGTGCAAATTTTGTGCAAGTTTTGAGAAAAATTGCTAAAGAAGATACAGATGGATGCATGTCAGATCAGTGAAAAGCAAAAGCAAAAGCAGCAGTCAACAAAAACAACATACAAAGAAAAAAAACTAGAAATTATGACAAAAACAGGATGTCCATGTTAATGTGTTAAAAGTGACAAACCCCTCATCAATCCACTAAACATGATTCACGTATGTCTTCATTAATTTGCCAAGTCTGTTTCCAGTTTGTCAATTTTTCCATGATAACCAAGTGTAAAAACCTTTTGACCGTGCAGATTCTCAGTCATCCAGGTCATAGTAAATGGGAAAAAAACTTTAAAAAATCAACTGGACTAGGTTTTTAGGTCATGTTCATGTTAATGTGTTGAAAGTGGAAAGAAAGAGAACTGATGAAGCCTCTTGGATGAGAGGTGAAACATCTTCGACCTAAAAACCAAGTCCAGTTGACAGTTTTTTTTTTCAGATTTCTTTATTGGATTTCCATTGTTTCCACTCCTTTTTTGTTTTAGGTATTTCCATTAGCTTGTGCACATGCTATATACAGTATACATGCAAATAAGATCATTCTAGCTTTGAATCACTTTATGCCCCTTAAATGCAAGTTAGCAGTTACTATGTCTACTAAAGCTGAGTGACACTCGGTTTTACATTAATGAGTGACACCATTGGGCAAAACGCATCTGAAGCCAAAGACAAAGATGTGGAGGCTAGTGAAAAATACATGGATAGTGTCTGGATGATTAAGCAGTGTAGGGGATGAAGGGTGACACTCTCTGGTCAAAGATGGTGAGGAAAAGTGTTTGTGTGAAACCAGGGTGGTCATGAAAAAGGCTGAACTGGGGACTAACCTATGCACACTTTTTCATCATCCAGTTCTGCTGAGGCATTGCGGTAGTAGCCCAGCTTGCATAGCTGGCAGTGCTGGCCCCTAGTGTTGTGCTTACAGCTCACGCAAATGACGGTATTTAGCAGCTCAATGTAGCTGCATCGGTTGGAGTGGCTGAAGCATTCACAGTCTTGCAGCAAGAAAAAAAATGAAGAGAACAGAGTGAGAGAAAGAGAGATACGTGCTAGAGAGTAAAAACTGTTGGCGCTGTTGTGCAACGGCAGTGACGTTAGCAGGAATTTGAGCTAGGTGCTGTAGCATGTGAGGTTAGGAAGGTGGAGCATGATTAGTCAGGCAAGAGCACAGCTCAAGTTAGAAAAAGTCATCACGATTAAAAAAGCACAGCATTAGTGGGTTTCAGAGAGGATGCATCATTAAAACATACCACAGTACAAGGCAAGGAAGGCTCTGAAATGACAGCACAAATACATGGTCACACTGGGAGCACCACACAACACAAGGCAAGTCAAACCATAACTCAAACAGATCTCTCAACCCAGGGAGTGGCTTGGGGTATCTTGAGGTTTTGAGTTCATAAATGTTATGTTTTGTCTGGTCAGAAGTGACAAGAGAGAGGTTGAGACGAAACCTTCACTGACACTTCATATTTCAATCCTTTCTAGTGAAATGCCTGATAAATTCCAAATCCAAGAAACCCTAAACACATCCAGCACATACTTCCAAAAGTAGCTAGGCAACCCAGCTTCTGAAAGAATTCAGTAAGGCTAATGAGTTTATGGCGAGTTGCAGCTGGGAAAGTGGTTGCCTGCTATGGTTTTAAGTATGAGGGTGTAGATGAACTGCAAAGCCTCATTTTGTAGTCTGTGACAGTCACCCTGCTCTAAGGGTTGCAGGGTGGGGCCAAGTGAGGATTATTCTGACATGATCATTAATAGCCAACAGTTTTGTTCATTCTTCTACACATCCTGGAGGTGTTTTATTTTGGGGGGGGGGGTCCTTATCCTGCTATGGGATGAAACCCTGAAAAGCTCTGATTTCCTTTTTAATGGCCTTTTTCCAAATACTGCTTCAGAGGGTGTAGCAACACAGTCTTTTCCAACACTGCTTTTGTACAGACAGAATCTGTTTGTTATAAATCAGCAAGCAAAAGTTTACCTGAACTACTTAAATGTTAAAATAAAAATGGGAAATATATAAACCTTTACTGAGTGAACTGGCTGGTCTTCATAGTGATTCATCAAGCACCCATTTTCTTGTTTCTCTAGCTGTGAGCAGATAATGACATTTGACATCAGAACAGTGACACATTATTTCCGTTTATTTGCTTTGTTTATTTTTATTTCCCCCAATATCATTGTAGTGATAAATTACACTAAAGATTATATAGAGAGACCCACTTCAATCCCCTGATTCCTCTCTGGTCATAACAAACAGCATAGCCCCAGCCTCTGCCATTGTCCTGGCTGATAAATACACTGTGCACTTGGCTATAATCATGGAAACACAGACCTAGTGGTTCTGTTGTTTGTGAGGTGGTTGCACTCCACATCTATACAACTTACTAACATTAGTCTGCATAAAATCACCATAAAACCTCTCCTGTTTTTTTTCTTGATGTACTAAAATGGGACTGATATCTCTGGATGACTACATTTAATTAAAATCATATGTAAATGTATAAACACAGTGAATGTTTGAGGGGAAAATGCATGGCACTGCAGCATGCCGAAACACGAATGCTTCTTAAAACACCAACCTCCACTGAAGGAGCCAAAGCTCTACATCATGAGCTTTTTTGGTTTGTCAGGAAAATAACCAAGATTTAGCTCTCAGACATTTTTGTTTTTCTATGCAAACACTCCATCATTAGTCTGCATAAAATCACCACCAAATGTCACTTTTGGCTTGTTCCCATGAGGGGTCACCAGCGAATCGTCACATTGACGATTTCCATGTTGACATTTGGCACGTGTTTTATGCCGGATGCCCTTTGTGACTCAACCCTGACTCAAACCTGTCTCGCAGCGGCGAGAGTGCTTCAAGGTACATGATCTATATGCTGACTTTCTTTTCAGTTAGCAACACCTAGGGCTGAGACATTTCAGTGAACTGTCTACAGAAAACCATGGCTATGCATGTGCACTTCACTGAGAGTTTAATGACTTGAAATGATGGACTGCTGGAGGTAGCATAACCTCATATTTACATAGAGTCATTCAGTATTTTGACATCAAGAAAATACTTTATGGTTGCAAATGGATAGAAATGAAGCAGAAGGAGACTTTATAAGGACCCCAGGTCACCAAGTTCCCTGACCTTTGTCTTCCCACTTGATTGTTTTGCTACTGACTATATGAAGGTTCAAGGCTGTCTTTATTGCCTCTCTTAGGAGAAATAATAACACAATTTAAAAACACCACAACACAGTAAAAACAGGACACCTGTTTGTAAGGTCCAGATCCAGCAGCATACCACCTGAGCCAAAACATTATCAGAAAATCCCTAAAAACAATTAAGTGGAATTAAAGGATGATCTGGCAACCCAAACCATGCCTGTAAATAAATAAATATATCTAAAGTTTCCAGTTTGACTTTTGAAGACAATTGATCATAAGTTCAATAGACAGGACAAATTAGCACTTATAGTGATTATGTCTGCAAACTGGGATTCAATATCTCCTTCCTGACTTTACCAGCTCATATTCAGAGGGCAACACGTAAGAAGGATCATTAATAAAACTGATGGCTTTCTTGTTAATAGAAGTCTAGAAGACAATCTGAAGGGTGGGTAGTGTTGTCTTCCTCAGCTTGCTGATCTGGGTCTTTGCTTTAACAGTAAGGTTACCAAGCCTTTCTGCAAATCCATAGTGTAAGATAGATTCAGCTGTTGCTTTGTAAAAAATCAGCATAATATTCTGACTAACACCAAAGCCCCTAAGCCTGCGAAAGAGATGCAGGTGCTAAGTCTAGAACACATATATGCAAGGTGTGTTCCAACTTAGGTCCTATTCTAAGCAAACACCCAAATACTTATATGATCTAACCTGCTCAATTTGAGTTCCCCTTATTTTAGTAGCACTTTGTTTGCCAATAGATCTTGGGTCAAAGACCATTTCCTTTGTTTTCTGTACATTAATATGCAGATGATGCTCATCACATTTGCTCTTGCATTTTACAAATCAGAATGTCTGTTATTGTTTTCTATACTGCGTTCAAAATAAGAGCCACTGGCCTGTAGTCCTTATTATCTTGTGAATGCGTTTTTTTGGGAAGTGGAATTATAACAGATCTCTTCCAAGGATAGGGCACAGTGTGTTTATCAGTGGTCAGCTGGAAAAGGTGTTACCAGACTGCCAGACAGCTCCTCCATAAATGTTCTATATAACAAAGCAGACAGCCCAACAGGCCCAGTTAGCCTATTTATATGCAAAGTTTTAAAAGCTCTTGTGACAAAGTCCAAATCTATAACACGTCTGTCAGTGTACAGGTCACAAACCACATTGTTCAAAACGGCAATGCGTTCATTGGTTGTGTCCTTTTCAAAAGGCAAATAAAAATTATTATATTCATTTGCTTTTTCTACCTCATTCCTCACAGATACAGGCTTCTGTTTTGGGATGAGAATAATAATCACCTTTATTAGCCAAGTATGTTACACACAAGGAATTTGTTTCCGGTACAGAACCGAGGCAGCCATCTGTGGCACTAAATCAACCAGTGGCTCTAACCATCAGGGGCATTGGGGGGGATTCAGTGTCTTTGGTTTGAGATTAGTCATTTCTGTAATTGAATCACTTAGCTTCTTCTGTTTAGATTACTTTAAATTATGTTCCACCTTAGCCCTATCATGTTTGCGTTACAACTTTCAATTGAAGGTTCAATTTCTTCCTTGCTGCATTCAGTCCAGCTATATCTCCATTTCTCTATGCTCCATTTTTTTCATTTAATGCATTCCCATATTCTTAACAGGATTTATTATTACTATATCTCTTCACTCTGAGGTACGATTGAGTCCATGCAGAAGGTGATATAGTCAATATTATTCCTGTCGATACACAGAAAACATCCTATTATATACAGTAGTCTTCTGACCAGATGAACCATGCAGCTGTGGGTAATAATGCCCAGTGTGGTCTTGGCAAGAAGCCTATTACACCTTGACTGTGTATGAATAATCTGAAAAAGCTATTATATTATGAGTGACACCACTGGGCAAATGCATAGCTACTATTATATTAATATTTTAGTAATGCATTTTAATGTTCAGACTTTTTTGTACTGCATTAAAATTTAATTTAAAAAAAATTGCATAAGTGCCTAAAAGAAATCATGCAATACTGACCTCCTGTCTTCCTGTCTTATCGTTCAGACTGAGTGTGGTAAAACGTAACTGTGCTCTTTTTGTAATGCAGGGGGTGAGTGGTTGGAGGGACAGTGTCACGTGGCTGTGTACGATATGGTCATGTTCTGATAAGTCCAAGTGAGTGGCTTCTTTAAGATTTCCAACCTGCCAGTTTCTGTTGTGTTTTAGTTAATGTAGCCTACTCTACATTAGCACCAATTTGTACCATTAGTTTGTCAGCATTGATAAAGAAAAACAAGCAAAAAAAAAAAAAAACAAAAAAAAAACACCATTTAACACCCAGTAGCTTCACTAACAAAAACACATGGCATGGTGTTATGGTGCTTTTGTAAGTGTAGCGCCCCCTACCCCCTTTATCATTTGGAATGTAAGGGACTGTACCAGGTTCAACAAAAGTGCCTATGAGCTTGTGTAATAAGGCCCTTCTGGGGTCACTGACCCAACCGTTTATACACTCCTTACTGCACTGCGGAGTGACAGGTGTGATGTTTCCCTAGTCTCCACTTGTTAACTATGCTAGAGTAAACTCAGACACTAGGTATAACCTGGCAACATGAAACATTTAATTTAAAAGATTAAAGAAAAAATAAAACAAAAGAAATGCAGGATATATAGAAGTTTGACTATATCCCCAATCACAGTGGTTACCCTCTACTGTCTGTATCAAAACCCATGAAATATACAAATCCACACTTCACCTCAATTGAGTACATATACCAACACCTTCTTCACATAACATACAATGAACAGATTATGAACACAACTCTCTGTACTAAAAGTTACTTCACATAAACATACAGATGAACAGATTAGGAACACAACTCTTTGTACTAGAAGTTACCATGGGCCCACACATACCATAACTCAACGTTCACACTCCCACCCCGTAGCAGGCCTGTAAGTGCGCTAGTCCTGGGACACCGACCCCACAGTCTTCTTCACTCTCTTGAAATCCAAAAAACAATATCCACAGTACCTTGGATCCGTGGTAATGTACACTGCTAAAAAAAATAAAGGGAACACTTAAACAACACAATGTAACTCCAAGTCAATCACACTTCTGTGAAATCAAACTGTCCACTTAGGTAGCAACACTGATTGACAATCAATTCCACATGCTGTTGTGCAAATGGAATAGACAACAGGTGGAAAGCATAGGCAGTTAGCAAGACATCCCCAATAAAGGAGTGGTTCTGCAGGTGGTGACCACAGACCACTTCTCAGTTCCTATGCTTTCTGGCTGATGGTTTGGTCACTTTTGAATGCTGGCGGTGCTTTCACTCTAGTGGTAGCATGAGACGGAGTCTACAACCCACACAAGTGGCTCAGGTAGTGCAGCTCATCCAGGATGGCACATCAATGCGAGCTGTGGCAAGAAGGTTTGCTGTGTCTGTCAGCGTAGTGTCCAGAGCATGGAGGCGCTACCAGGAGACAGGCCAGTACATCAGGAGATGTGGAGGAGGCCGTAGGAGGGCAACAACCCAGTATCAGGACCGCTACCTTCACCTTTGTGCAAGGAGGGACAGGAGGAGCACTGCCAGAGCCCTGCAAAATGACCTCCAGCGGGCCACAAATCTGCATGTGTCTGCTCAAACGGTCAGAAACAGACTCCA